CTTCAAAACGACCAATACATCTCAACATTACATGACGTCCATTTTTCACCATTACATGACGTCCATTTCGAGCCTTTTCTTCGGTGCAGATAGATGGGTGCGTTCCGAAATCTTGTACTCCTAGCTGCATGTCAGTCGTGTACGTCAGTTAGGTTCGTTCAGCCGTCCGGTATAATCGACGTAGGTCTCATGTTCCTAATCGATAAGCCTCGGGGTCTTCCTAGCATAATTCGCAACCTATAATGGAAAACTCCCCTTTGAGCCAACAAACGTGCACGACTTTTAGGAAATAATTAACGAGGACTACGGAATGTAAACAGGAATTTGTTTGCACGAAGGCACCTACTAATATTTTGCATCTCCAAAGGCCATTTGGATTTAGGAATGTTCAGGAAAAAAGTTCTCCGGTGGAATACTACCTGAATGTTTCGTTTATTGTTAGTAAGTCAATGTTCTTCACAATTCGCGATTTTTAATCATCAGGCAACGAATTCACAGCCGGTGGTGTTTATTGACCTTGAGCATTTTCTCACTTAAACAAATAATCATGTTAAATGATTTTCAGTAATACAGGAACATATACATTAGACATAGACATTCTACACTATGAAGTGAGAAGCCTGAAAATGCCGTAGATTTCGAGACATCAATCCCAATGTGCGAATAGTGAGTGGCATTGCAAGGGCCACTGAGTAAACTTTCTCGACCTCGATTGGTTTATACCATAACCAATCAGGACATGGCTTCTTCTGGTCTGCGCAGGTTCGCGATGTCCGCGCAGGCGACGTATGTTCAGCTATTTTCGCCAAGTAGCGTCGAGGCTGGTCTTCCGTGGCATCGTTACATTAACGCTCGCGATAAAAACAATAAAAACAAGGCCTGGGTAGCCTACTGGAAGTGGTGAACCTGAACGATGTTACGGATGGTTAATTCCAAAAGTGCCCTACTGCATTAGGGCATTCTCATGAGAATGGTTGACTATCCAGAACATTACAGAAACCTGACTCACACCAGACTTCTCTGATTCTGGTATCTCGATCTGCTGCACCTTTTTGTGATGCTCGGTGGATTCACGTCCCGTTGCGTGAGACCAGCTTTCTCCCTCTTGGCGTTGTCTTCCGTTGCCTTTCAACTCCCCCAGAAGGCGACTTGTTCCTCATATTAACACTTAGGCACCTCTTACAGTTACCATTACAGTCTTTTGCTGGTAAGTGACTTTAACACCCCAAAGGCTTTCTGGACACAGTCTCAGCGCATCGAGTCTACTGATCTTTCTACATTGATGCTGAAGAAAGCCGTTAGACAGAGGGTTCGGACTCTGTGTGTCATCGCACCCACTATATGCCGCGCAGGCCAACTACCATGTCTGCCGGATCTGGTTATCTCCAAAGAAGGACACCTCGTTGATCAAGTGATAAGTAATGCCCGTCTGGGATGTGTCGACCTCTGTGTGCTGACTTTTGATTTCATCTGCTCTGTGCCAGGACCACGGAACCGCAAAGGGGCATTCGAAGCACCTGCTGCACAGATTCCCAAGGAGTGCGTATCTTCTTTGACCATCTTGAACATGGACCAGCTTCAGTGGAGAAGACTTACGGAGCATTGTTCAAAAAATTTATGAATTTGAGACGGTGTTCGTTTCAAAAAAACCGGCGCGCAGTCGAACGGCCCCAAAAGTGTCTCAAAAGGATTCGGGCTCCTTTAAAAATGAGTTTTCAAAGTAGACTTGGAAGAGTCTGGTATTCCGTAAGATGCGGGACTACTGTTAGTCGCGCTAGGAAAAATGTGCTTTTCATGTACGTGAGACACCATCAAAGAAGCAATCCAAACGCCTTCTCCTTGGGGGACAAACGGATTCCACGAATAAACAGTGTGATATCCGAAACCTACGGAGAGCACTGTGGAGGCCTTTATTTTGTTTCAGAGACCTCATCACAATCAATGTTGGCCTCTCACCAACTTGGTTTTCACTGAGGAAGATGTTCGTGGAATCTTGCACAATTCAAACCCCTTCATTGTGTACGGACCAGGTGGGTTTCATCCCAGGCTCCTGAAAGGACTAACACTCAGCTCGACAAAACATCTCACCTGGCTTTTTGTCAGTTGTTCAACAATGCAACTTTTCTGCCTGAAAAGCAGCAATATCATATCGATCTACAAATCTGGTGATCGCTTTTTGCCCGGTGACTCAAGTCCAGCTAGCCTCACTGACATGTCGTGCGACGTGAAGGATCGCATTCTGAAGCGAGCTATTTCAAACAACTCGCTACCAACAACTTGATATCCCCGGTGGAACATGGATTCCTCCCAAACCGCTTTAGATAACAAACCTGCTCCCGTTCGTGGACAGTTTAACCCGGGTCAAAGATGAAGGGCTCGTATCGAACACTTTAAAAGGCATTCCTTGTCCGTCGATAGTTCTGCGCACCTTTTCCCGTATTAATCGCATGGACTTCCAAATACTCTATAGTACCTTCGTCAGACCGTCTCTTCCGTCACGAAGGGACAGGACCTTACCGTGGTGTGACGGTTTGCGCACCTCAGCGATCCATTGAGCTATACTGGAGAGTGTCCCGCGACACTCACAGAGTCTCTCACACCAGGTTGGTCAATGGTTAGAGGTCTGACGAACACAGTCTCCTGGCCCTCCAGGTTGGGGGTTGGAACATGTGGCGACTTGTTCCGTAGAAATGGTAATGCATTTGCATTTCCCGCCAAACACCGCTGCCTTGCGGTTAGGCTTTTGAGCCAAAGGCTTTGGTCGAGGACCCTAATCGTCCTCCTGTCTAGGTGTGGGCGCCCTGGCAGTATCCCAGCTCACGTACAACCATGAATTGCACATACGCAAATAAACTCATGCCACACCGGCCGTCGCGTGGTGCCATCAGCCGGGTCGCCTTACTTGCTGCATACAGCAGGGCGGGTAAGCGAAAACAGGCTACTGCTGA